GACAGTGATGGCACTCATATATCGAGGCTTCCCCAGCCCTTTGTGCTGGCAGGCCTGTAACTGGCATATGCACTGTGGCCAGAGTCTACCCCTTTAAGGGCTCTGGGGCTGGAGGGGAGCAGATGAGTTTTCCTGGTTTGGCCCAGAGTGGCCACCAGGGCACCCTGCGAAGGGATGGAGGCCCCCTATTTTGAAATAAGTGTCTACACAGCGCTTATTTCGATTTAGCTATTTCGAATTTGGCATTATTCCTTGTGGAATGAGGTTTACCAAATTCAAAATAATCACTCTGCTATTTTGAATTAATTTCGAAATAGCAGTTTGGCTGTGTAGACGCTGGTAAACGGCTGTTATTTTGAAATAACTTTGCTGTGTAGACATACCCTAAGATTATATTGATAATCCGTCAACAACAGATTCCAGCCTGCATGGATTTGAGTATGAAATGCACCTAGTGAATTAATGTAATAGGTGTCTGAACTGTAACACTAAAAGCAACCTCAATCCATGGACTAGGACCATGTCTTCCATTATATACAGCACTAAGTACATTATTGTCAATATTACTACACCATATTATTTTACAATTTAAAGCCCAATAATATTGCTAAGCTATCTGCACTCTTCTCCTTGGAAAGTAATGGAAGCTAGCTTCAAAGGTAGCCTTCAGCTATGCAAGCAAAGTTTATTGCTAACAATGCACTCAAGGAGGCCTGATGACTTGAACTTTTATCTACAGCTTTCTATTCTATTCAGGCACATAAAAAAAACTGCTAGAGATGAATTGTTCTAGGTATTAAAAATTAATCACATCTCAGTGCACTTGTAATCATATTGTATAATGAATGTATTGGCATAGGAGGTCTCCAAAATTATGTGCACCTACTGGCTGTGCATTATTGGACCTAATAAACCCAACGCTGTTCCACTCTTATAAATGGACTTTTGAGTTCGCATTAGCTGTTGGTGAGCACAGAAATTAGGAAGTGTAATGTAATATGCACCAACAGCCTGATCCAAACACCTTTAAAATCAACGGAAAGAACTGTTGTTGGTTTTGGATCAGTTCCTATACATGGGATCCAGCTTTATCTTTGAACTAGTGCATTATAGTCTGAATTATAGACATGAAAAAGATATAATACTCTTAATTGTTTTTTCTTACTAGCCACATTTTTGGTTTATCTAAAAAAATCTATTTTGTACAATTGAACATATATCTACATTGTATCTGAAAAGATATGATTTTATGAGGCTCTTCAAACTGGAAGATTTCCTGAATAAGGAAAGGGCTGAAAAGAAAGGAAAACCAAGAAAATAACGGATTGAACCCTTCCTGGAGACAAGAACCAGGTACAGTCAAATACTGGAGCCCACAATTACTTAAAATTCTTTTGACCAATGTATTTCATTGTGAAATTAATCAAATACTGTTTCTATTAGAAGCCGGGATTCATTTCCTTTCCTTAGATAAACACTTGAAGGTGCCAGACTCCTCTGTGGGATGATAAATGACTTCCTAGACGTCATCATAAAGGAAGTTGTTCCTCATAACTGTTCTAAATCTGTTACATATCAAATTTCCTGTGCATGGCTGCCACACTGTGATGCTTTCCAAACTGTGTTTCACAAATTCTCAGTGCACCCTAGGATATCAAGATGCTCCATTACAATCTCCATCATTGGTCAAGTTCTCAAAACACAGGAGGCCATAGATTGGATTTGTAAGCTAGTGCATTACACTTTGCCTACCCAGAATACAAACAAGACAGTTCAGATGTGAGGTTTATGAAATTTGACTTATAGATGAGAAAGATGAGATATTCTTGTTCTGTGATAGGAAATTCAAGGGAGAGGGTTATTGCACTCTGTACAGGTTATCATACATATAGTAGCCCAATGTCTGTGATTCTGTAACACTGAAACGCTGGCTGTTCCCTCTGGGTGGCACTGTTGCCTCTCGCCGTGGTGCTCGGCTGACTTCTGCACCGCTCAGCCGGGCCTCCGTGGGGGAGCAAGTGGTGCAAGCAGCCATTTGGGTGCTGTGGTCCCCATGCAGCACCCCAGTACTGCATGGGGAGCGCGGGGCCCAAACGGCCACTTGTGCTGCTTGCTCTCCCACGGCCGGCCGGCCGG